AGGAATTTTTGATGTTGCTTTTTTAACTTACTTGTTTTGAAACTATTTAGCAGCTGCTTAAAGCAAACTGGATTTTGAATATCCAATTTTTCCTGACTTGAGCATTTACTCATTCTGAACATAGAGCAAGCAAGCCAGATGCATACTGAGGCTACCTTGTGTGGAAGATTCTACTTGCTTAGTTATCAGTGCTGCTGCAGTCCCTAGTGCTTATTAGGTTTATTTGCTTCCTACTCCTCCTATGGCAACAGGTTGTAATTGTTGGTAGGCTTAGGACAGATTTTGTAACAGAAAACTCTACCTTTTTAACTTGCCAGCATCTAACTTGGCTTACAGTACTGGGTCTCCTGAATGGGAAGGTGCTGATGTGAGTTTATTTTATTTTTAAAGTATGCTTGTGAGTTTTAGTCTACGTGTAGCTATCTGTTCTGTGGCTGATTTAATCCATATGATTCTTCTGGTGGTTGCTGGGACTGGTACAACCTCACTCAAGGGAATTATGGACTTGAATTTTCAAATGTCTTATTAAAAAATGTAACAAACATACCCAGAACCTTTGTGTGGGCTTCCTATGGACAACTGCATCTTCCACCATCCCAGCCCATCCTGCTTCACTGCCAGCAGGCTCCTATGTTGAGCTTTAGCAGCCTAGCCCCCAGTTGATTGAATTTCAGTTCACGGGGTTAATCATCATTGCATCACTGCACTGCAGTGTAGTATTTGCCTGGATTGCAGAGTTAGGGGGAGGCCAGTCCCGTTGGAACAAAGAGCTGGACATCCTGCTGCCTCTGAGCTCTGGCATTTCGAGTTGGTGTATCATGGAAACACTTGCTGAACTAATGTATTTTGCTCCACCTTCTCTCCCCTCATTAAACTTAGAGTGGAGGTGCTGAAGCTTTATTGGGTTTGGAAAATATTAAAATATTTTTAGCAACAGATAGGATATATCTGTGGTATGATAATGGAGCTGCATATTTGGGTGATGATGTTCTCCACAGATAGTGCTTAAAACCCCAGGAATTAGGTTTAGTGACTTGCATGTGTTGAATATTAGTGCCAAGCACGGAATAAAATGCAAAAGCTCTAGTCTTTTAGAGACAGACACTTGCGAACCACACAGAAAATAAATATTTTCCTTATTATGTGTCTTGTTAAGTACTTCACAGGGTGTGTGTGTTGGGTTATTCTTTTCATTGCCACATAGTAACAAAATGGATACCTTACTTGATAATTAATGTAAGCACTTCAAAGTTTCACACAGCTTCTTTTCATTCACTGTTTACTTGAACTTGGGGTGAGTTGCACTGGCAGTTCCTGTAGCTCACTGACTGCAGTGATGCCACACTGTGTCTGAGGAAATGAGATGGCCACATGCTGCAATGAAGATTAGCATAAACTGCTATTCAGTTCTCTTTGTGTGTCACTCCTGTGTATGGCATTCTTGCAGTTCTCACAACTGCAAATCTCACAGACAGATTTTTCCTCATTAATACTGTCTAGCCTATTTAGCTACTAATATGCTCCCAGCTAAGTTTCTTTTAGATATCAAGAAAAGGATAACTGCTGGGAGCTTTTTATATCTGAGTTATTTTTAGGTAGGTTGAATACATATTGGATGCTCAGAGGTGTCCTGAGTTATAGGTTTAATAGCATTTCTGCAAGTTCCTGATCATTACTAATGCGACCTTGAAAATATATTAGTGTTTTATGTAGCATTGAGAAGAACTAGTGTCAGCTTGGAGGAATTGCCTGGTAAGATTATATGCAACTTGTTTACTGTGATATATTTGCCAACAAAGGGAGAAGAAAAAGTATGGTCAGAGTTCTGCAGGTTCTTTGATTTGCAAGAAACTGACCTGAACTCTGTAAAAACATGACTGTAGAGTTGGAGACTTCAGTAGTGCCTTTGGAATTGAAAACCTCTGTGTCTCCACTTAGCAGGGTATTGATGGTATGTGCAGTACAGGTAGTGTCCTTGCAATTTCAGTAGTGTCCTTTTCTTAGAACTGCCTATTTTGTCTTGGTTAATACATGACTTCACATTTCTAGCAGGTGTAGTGATTGTTTTCCTGTATTAGGAGGAGTTGTGCATAGTTTCTCTTCTTGTGTCCTCTCTCCACTATAACAGAGCACACTACAACAAGCTTGTCCTGCCTTCTAGCTTTCCCTTAAGACACCAGTTAGAGAGGTCATCTTCTCAGTTTTGTCTTCCACAAACACACCTAACAGTTTCCCGAAACTTATGCTTTTGCATCTGTTTCCTTAACTCTTGGAATCAAGGCTCAGTTACCATGTGTGAGCTTTTTCTCCTGACTCATTGAAGTGTTGTAGCTGTACCTGAGAAATCTCCAGAAAACTGAACTTAGAAAAATTGTTCAAACCCCTTTTTAAGAAAAACAAGTTGAATGGTAGAGTATCAAACTTGCACAATCTTCACTGTTGTGTCACTAAGGCAAAATAGTTTTTTTTCACTTAGTTCTGGTCTTGTGATATTTGTCCTGTAGAATTTCTGTAGATTTTATAATAAACTACAGCCCAAGCAGTTTTCACTTTCTGACCATTTCTGTGTTCAGCCCTAGAGCAATAGGTGCATAAAGTAAAATTCCACTAAAAAAATATCTTTTAGACTGAAGAAAACTAGTCTCAATAAAAAATAATTAAAGGAGGAAAATTAATATTTTGGATCTGGACTTTTTTTTTCTTTCATTATTCATTCTAACAAAACATTCTTTTCCAGACAGGAGAATACTCATTGTTTTATGTGTTCTGAATTATGATGTGCCTATGTTGGAGCATCATGTTTCAGAGTGGTTGCTAACATCACCTTTGTGCTATTTGCAGCATTGTTACTGTTCATTCTTCTTGGTTTTCACAAGCCATGAGGGGGAAAAGTAGGTTTGAGTTTTTCCTCTTAACTCAACTGGACTGTACGGAAACAAAGCTGTCGAGTTCTTTGATCTGATCTTGTATCCCGTAGTTCCATATTTTTCTTGATCTAGCCTCTGAATGCAGGACAGGCTGCTGAGCAAGTCAATACTGGTTTTCAGAAAGACAGCCTGTGTTTTACCAGACTGTAAGGCATGGGAGAAGTCTCACCTCCCTACAGATTTTAAGTCTTTTGTCTTCAGCATTTCTTTGACCTGGAAGTACCTTGGAAGTGAAGGTGTTGGTGTAGGATTGGGCTGACTGAGGCTGTGAGGTATTCGAGTTATTTTGCTGTCATTCTTGCAGGTGAATGGTCTGAACACCCAAGGTGGAGATTGAAAACATTTCTGTTGGGTAGCTCTGCTGAAAAAGGCAACAGAGGCAGAGGTGTGCTCAGTGAAGGCACTTGGTGCTGGGTGCTCCCCGGTTTGATGTGGGGAGTTGTGTGTTCCCAGGTGGCCTCACCAGTGACACTCTGGTGGATCACCAAAGGTGTTTCAAAGAGATGTCAGTCTGATGGCTGGGACAGTTGGCTTGGTGGTTGCTGGCACACTCATTGCCTGTGTGCAGATCCCAGAGTCAGAAAAGGGCACGAGTTTTGCCACACTGAAGTGAAGGAGTCTTGCCTTGCTCCGTGTAAATCAAAATGTTACTTGTTTTGTTGGAAACCCAGAGGGAGTTCTGTTTACATTTCTTAAGTAGCAGTTGATTAAACTGCTGTGATTTTGTAGATTCAGAATGTTCTTAAACATGTAACCATCCAAAGTCATCTTAATGACACTCAGCTTTAGTAAGCTGTGAATAAATGTTGTTCACCTGATTTCTCCAGTTCCTAAGGAGAGCCTTGAGATAGCTTGAGTTAATAGAAAGTAAGTGCTGACACTCATTGTCACCTGTCAGGAGGGTGAAGTTTTGTTGGGTTTTGTTAGCGTTTCAGTGATGAATAATTTCTTTCTTCAGTCTTGGAAGGCACTTGGGAGTAGTTGGCATCTGGAAGGTTTTACTGAAAGGTTTAGATTAAAGAAGCTACAGGATATGATTTGTAATAATTGTTATCAACTACAGTACCATCAGGTGGCTGATTAAATGCATTGTGTAACTGTAGTGACACGACATATTGTACTTAGTCAGAAGTGCAATTCATACACTGTTCCTTTAGTTTTGTTTCCCTTGGAGCTGTACCAATGCTCTGCTTTGTTTGTTTTTTGAAAACTCACTGACCTGGAACTATGCATAATTGTTTTTTCCACCTCTTTCAAGTACAGTGTATGTAGTATACCATATTATTCACAAACCTCAATCTTTCTTTTCTTTCCTATCCTATCTGGCTCGTTTCTACAGCCATTGATATGTGCAATTTCCTCAGAAGATTGCAGGCTATCTTGCACTTTCCTGTCTGCTCGCACACAACTTAATGAGCTCTTTTTTTTTTTCCCTTGCCAGAGATGGTGCGCTGAGTCATTTCCACGAGAGGCTGCTGTACCACTCCGAAGTAAGAGGACACTAAAGAATTAAAGCTGTGAGAGTGCACCAACATTCTCCTGGCTGGAAAGCTAACCCAACCCGCAAGTGAATGTATTGAAGATTTCTAGACTTGGTTGGACAAATATCTCTACCTCCAATTTTATGCATACTGCTAGCAATGGCTGTGGAACTGTGTTTGCTGCTGCTGCTGCTTTGTGGAAGTACTATTTCAGAGGTACAGCCTATATACAAACCACCTCCTGGGACTTTGGATTTTGGATTTGTACCATCCAAGACGTATGATACAGGTGCATACCATGAACCTGGGGCAATAGGAATTTTGTTTAGAATAGTGCATGCATTCCTGTACTTAGTGCAGCCAAATTCTTTTCCTCAAGGTAAGCAGATAAACTACCTTTTTTTTCTTGTTTTAAATACAAACTTGTTATTGATGTGCTTGTCCTGTTGTGGATACCAAGGCCATAATCAGGAAGTAAATCATATGAAGGTCTTTGTAAGTAGCACGTGTTAGGGCCTGGAAATGTGTAGAGTTCCATTTTCCTGCTAAGTATAGTGGGAAGGAGGTTGTTAGTGACAATGAAATGTTGGTGAAATTTCACAGAACTTTGCTTACATATCTCAAAGCTGTCACTGATGCATTTGAGGCTTTTTTTTCTTAACTGAAACTTTCTTTGCTCAGAAGCATGAGTTAGGAGTAAAGAATAAACTGCTTTTGTATTTCATATTAAATCCATCAGAGATAATTCTGTGAGTTTTGCCTATTATGGTAAACAGTTAGGTGGTTGTAATAGTATAAGATTTAGCCTAGGAAATGAAAAACTTAAATTTCATTTGTTTCCATATCTGTGCATCCTCAGTCAAGTTTATGAAAGGGCAGTTCCATTACACAGCCACGTGTGACTTCTTGTTCCTTTGAAACCTGTCAAGTTAAGACTTGAAACCGCACCTGTTTTATGGAGCTTTTTTCTTTCTATTTCTTTGCTACAAAGTTGTCCCTTCTAAAGGGAAAGTTAAGGTGTTGAAGTGTGTGCTTATTGAGGTTGCATTTATTAAAAGGTGCTTTTGGAAACTCTGTTTGTGGGTGTAGCAATTGTATCAGCTCAGCTTTTCAAGATGCTTTTTGTTTGGTTTAGCCCTTAAAGTGCTAATGTGTTTGTATAATACAGGCATTAAAAATTCTTTTGAGGTGACCCTTTAATAAAATCTAAGGAAGGCTTTGATTTTTAACTGATTCCTTTTAGTGGTTTACCTGTAACTGTATAAAAGGTGTTTATATTATTTTGTAGCACAGCTTTCAATTTATACATTAAAACCTTGAGTAATTTAAAGTTTTAGATAAATTCTTTGGTCAAGTTGGTCACTATGTGTGTGATACCTGTGAACTACTCTTTGCTTGTGTTTTTGACATTTCTTCACACAGTGCTGACATAGCTGCAGAAGAATGAGCTCAAATGAACTTGGATGAATGAATTCTATTTAGACAAGTGCTCAGAGTCCCAGGGGTAAACCAGCAGAGTAAAATCTTGGCCTGTTTCCCGCGGGATCTGTCTTTCAAGCAGGTCTTACACAGGTGTAATGAGGGCAGTTGCATGAAGGTGACAGTGATGTCACGTTTTGGAGGAACTGTTTCCAGATACTTCTGCTTTTTTTGCCTCTTTCCTTCTGTTAAATATGCAAGTGAACTATTTGCCTCTGTGTGGGACCTGATGTGTTAGGATTGCCATCTGCATTCAGCCCTTAGAAAGAGGCCTTTGTTCTGCCCAAAACCCTGCTTGAAAATTTGATTCTTTTGTGGTTGTGGAACTTGATTTCAGTGAGATGTTTACTGTGTTTTTATATTACCAGGAATTTGGTCTGCAATCTTGTATGACAGAATTAATATCATGTGTCCTAAGCATGTGAGTAATTAGTGAGTATATAATTTATGATTATTGTCCTTTGGGGCTCCTTGTAGTAAGCTCTGCATCAAGTAGGTGTTGCAAACTCCAACATTAAAGTGAAAGGAGAGATCCACAAGTAAATTAATTTCTTCTTAACTTGTAAGCTTTGAACGTCTCATACCTCTCCTTCCTTCCTAGAAGATGCTTTTTTTGCCAAATCAGTTATTTTTCAGAAGTTTGGCTCTTGTCGTTTGCATTAGGTGAAGTTGTGTTCCCATGCCCCCACACACTTCACTGCAAAATACAGATTTGAAGGATCATGTCAGTTTGAGTCATACCATTTAATTGGCTAATCCCCATAATCTCTTTTGCCATATGCTGTTCTATTTTCACATTCAGTGTATTAATGGTGTAGTTACATATTTGAAACGCCTTTTAAAATTATTTTTTTTTTAAATTCCAGCTTGAAATAGAGTTAATTGTGATTCAGAGATGAAAATAAATACAATGACAAGTGGGTGCAGAAAACAAGCCTCTTGATGTTTCTGACTCAAAACTTCATCATTCTGATTGGGGTGGTGCTTCAGAAGAGTTAGGTCCAGGTTGATGCCCCAGTGTGTTGCATGTAACTATAACACAGAGGAGTATGATTTGTGTGCAGGACTTGGCATCAATCACTCAGACCTTTGATCATAGTAGTCTTGTAATTTTTCCTCATACTTGGAAGAGCTTGATGTTCAGTTTTCCAATCTACTATTTGTATTCTTACCTGGGAGGAAAAGAAGTGGTAGGATTGCTGAATTCCATGTAGATACTCCTGCCTTTGCCAGTCATCTTTGTACTTGCAGTAGTGCCCCTATGGAGCTGAATATGTTGCAGTCTAACATTCATACTCCTTCAGTCCCAAGTATACCCTTTAGGGAGAAAGCTAGTATGAGCTTTATACTGTTATGATAAAACAAAATATGAAGGACATGAGAGTCTTTGGGAAATGTTGTTCTTCAAGCATGCTGCTAAGCCTGAACAGTTATTTAAATATTCTTATATGTTACTTAACAGTTGAAAGGGGGTCACTTCATTTAAAGAAAAATAGAAAACAGTCAAGAAGTATTTTGTAAGGTGGTTTTCTTTCAGTTAAATCTATGTAGGTATTTAGTCACTTCTAAAGTTATTCGTGCCATCCAGTTTATGGAAGCACAACTTTAAGTTTAGATTTAATAGCTAAGTTATTAATGGGATTAAATATAGTTCTTGCATAAAGTACATTAACAGAACGAGGGCAAGGAACTGTAACACCTCAAGGGTTTTTTTTAATTGTTGAATCTAGTTAAAGAGCAGCACTATGCTCTTTGGGTATGGCAAGGAACTAGCTCAAAAAAAGTGAACTAGGATATCTGATTGCAGTGCTTCAGTGAGTGTAAGTAGATTCTGCTTTCAACTCCACCAGTCAAATACTTTCATCCTCACTACTAGATGATTTACTGCTGTAAATAGGAGTGAATTTACTCACAAGTGTAAACTGCTACACAGGGAAGCAGTCTCCACTTTGAGTTAATGATACACTGGAGTGGAAATGGTTGTTTGCTACCTGAGGCTCATTAGGGTCTCTTAAATCCTGGTGTGGCTTTATTTCTCCATTTATGAAATGGAAATGATGAAACTATGGGGCTACTACTCCTTTTGTTGATGACTGTGTAGGATAGAGCATCATTATTCTCTCTCGCTAATACCACCACTTAATAAATAGATGAAAATAGGAAAATCACAAGTTGCTTCTACATCTTCTGTCATTCTATCATCAATTTCTTAGCTAAGAAAGAAGACACCTAACAAAATGAATTGTCAGTTTATCTCTTACTTAGAAATTGTCATAAACTGAAACATTAATTTATTGATAAATTTGTGAGACTCTCATGGTTGTGAGATGGTGGTATGTCACCTGTTGTGGTGGAAAGCTTCAGATGTGAACTTAGTGTAGTCAGGATATGGTGAGTATTATCCTGTGGCTGTTGTGAGTTATCATAGTTTTGTCTTTGTCCCCATGGAAACAGTTGTTAGTTGCAGTAAGATGATGCTAATCTAAGGTTCCACATGCCATCAGGATGTGCATAAAAAAATCTTCAGCTTCGCAGCTTGTGTCTTGTAACAAAAATGTGAGGAGTTCACAAAGGAAAAAACTGAGAATAAAGCTCCTGCTCCTATTTTTAGGTGAGATAAGGCAAGAAACTTACAAAAAATTGTTAATTTTACTCTACTGTACCTGAACATATTGTATCTCGGGACAACTCTAGCAGTTAAGTTACAACTGCTTTGCTCTAGCTTCTGTATTTTATTCTAGATAACCCTGTTTGTGCTCAAGTGGGAGTAAAATTTTAACATTAAAAAAAAATCAACTGTTGAATGCAGGTACTTCCTGGGCAAAGCATAGTATGATTAGTTCAATGTACTATTTGCCTGTGGGGAACATAAACAAACTGGTTTTTAGACCTGGACTACACCTTTCAATTCTTTCTGGTTGTGGAATCTCACTTGTTGAGCAGTTAAGAGGATCAGAACTTGATTATTTTAATGGAAAGTCCTGTCTCTGACCCCTTTTGTCTTCCTTTCTCCTCATCTGGTCAGCCTTTAAAGCAGCTGCAGATTGTGAAGTTCAGCAAGTTAGTCTTGTGTTATCTCTGTAATTAACATCTCACATGAGTATATTCAGCAATTAAAACACTTGAATATATTGTAAAGAAGAAACATGTAACTTGGTGTGAAAATAAACTATATTTGCAGCTAGTATAGCTGTAATAGAAAAATCATATGCAAAACCCTGTTGATGTAGGTAGGTTTGATGAGCTCCTAGGATAGTGACTTTTTAAATCTATTAACTGTGTTGGATGTGAGGTTCTAAAGGAAGTAATCCAAGCACTTTATAACCCTTTCACTTAAACTCAGTCAGAATTGTCGTGTGTGTAAAACTATCTTCTCTGCCTTTTGTAACCTTTTAATTCTTGGTTGCCCATTTCTACTTTAGTTTTCCTTCCTGTTAGCAATAACTTCCATAACTCCTGGGCAAAAACCAAAAAAGATGCATGTGTCTGGATGTCAGAGCAAGGTTCAGTTACATGCAGCTGGTAATGCCCTTTTGCTTTTAAACTTGAGACTTTCCCAGGAGCTTTGGCCATGCCCACATGAGCATGTGGTGAAAGGACTGTGCTCTGGCTCAGACTCTCTAGGTGATGCTGTCCAGCACCATAAGGTTTTGCACAGCCATTGTGACATTTTATAAAAACTTAAATAGGAATATCCTCTTTTTTCCAGTTGTGTGAAGTCTCAGTTTTAGTTTGGGCATGAAGCTGTACTGATGCAATATTCTGCTTTTTTGAGCTAGTGTTTGATAGTTACCTCCCTGTGCATGTGGGTTGGTTTTCTTAAACCTTACATCCTGGAGCTGGATTGGGAGCACAGGTGGAATTGCTGGTGCAGGAGCTGAGAAGAGGGCAAGAAGAGCA